CCCCCCCCCCCTGCGCCCCGGCACAGTCCCCAGCTCCTGCAGCCCCCCGGGACGGGCAATGAACCGTACGGGATGGGGGGCTGCAGGGATAAAGACACCCTAAATTGAAGCCCGTTACCCCCCAGACCGCTAAGGCGGGGAGGTGCCTTAATCCCAGCGGTGGGACCCCCATCCCGGGTGCCCCAGCTGGGGTGTTGGGGGCACAAGTGGTCAATTTGGAGGATTTTGCCCATTTTGGGGGGTCTGCAGGAAGCCCGTTAGTGGTGGTACCTGTACGGCCCCAGTCCCGGGTGTCCGGGGGGGATCATCCGGTGTGCTTCATCTGCGCCGGGGCTCCCGGGGCGCGCCGCGAGTCCCTCCAAGCGCCGGGTCGCAGCAGCGTGTCCCATCCCGTCCTCTGGCCAGCGCGACCCCCCCCGCCGCAGGCAAACGGCCCAAACCACGTCAGGAACGGGATCTGCCCTTGCTCCCGCTCACCCCATCGCCAGGAGATGCTGTTACACCCCCAAGGGCCAAAAAAACCCCCAGAACCTGCGCTGCCAGCCTGCCCCCAGCTCCTGGCATCCTGGTGCTGGGGAGGGGGGCACCTCGCTCGGGCCCCACGGACCCCTCGCAGAGGCACCCGATCGGTCCAGCCCGATTTGAGCCCAAAACCAAGGTTTCCAGCCAAAGGGAGCCCAAACGCTCCAGGACCCACGCGGATTTGTTCCTCACCCACGGGGCTCGGCACCCCTGGCACAGCCTGGCCACGGTGGGTGCCCCCCGGGAGGCAGCCCACGGCCCGGCCACGCACCCAATGGGTGCCCACCCTCGCCTGGGACATCTCGCGGCCTGGCTCTCGCAGCCCCCCTCCCACTGGCGGGGATTTTGTTATTCATTTATAAACAATAAAACACATTTTTAATAAGTTATTTATGGCTCCGGCAGCGCTATAAAAACCGCGGTCTGTGATCGCCCGGCCCAGCTGGGGAACATTTCGGAGCAGGCGGAGGGGAGCGAGGTGTGATGGAGAGCTGGGCTCGGCTCCCACCTCATCTGCGAGCGGCCTGCCGGGCTCCCCGGGCCGGCTCCTGCCCCAGGACAGGGTTTTGGGGGTCCAGGGTGGGTGCTGGGGGCACCCAGGTGGAAGGAAAGCACCCTGGCGGGGGTCAGTAGGCTTTGCAAATACACGCATCGCCCGTTGCGATGGGGTAGCGGTGGTTCCCCCGCCTCGGCCAGATCCTGCTCGGGACAAATCCCCTCCTGACCCCTGCTGCTCACGAGGGGCCAAGGTCAAGGTGCAGCACTGGGGACCTTGGAGGGATCGCTGGGCTCCGGCTCGATGTCCCCACCTGTCCCTTGCCCGTGGCGAGGAGGGCAGGATGGGGCCCACAGCCCATCTCATGGCCACACGGGCTGGGGGCTTGTTAAGGGCACGTTACCGTGGAGGGCAAGCTGGTGTGGCTTCTCTGGTGTCTACTAAGGGCTGAGCTGGCCGCCTCCTGCCTTCGGAGCCCGGGGGTGGTCTCCAGGGCAGGGGCTGAGCATCCCCCAGGCTGGGTGGGGAGTGGGAAGCAAACAGCCTCCTCTGCCCCTGCCCTGCCTCTCCCCCTCAAACGAGGGGTGAATCGCCCGGGATTTCACCCACCCAAGCTGGCCAGGGCTGCTGCTGCCTCTCCGGCAGGGAAACTGAGGCACGGCAAGGTGCAAGGGTGAGCTCTGTCAAGGCCAGGCTTTGGGGATGGTGGGTTGGATGCCCAGCTTCTCCGCTGGGAGCAGGGGCCAAAGAAAATCCCAGTGAGGCCACTGGGTGTCAGAAATCCCAGGGCAGAACTCAGGGAAGGGGACAGGCAAATGCCTGCTTGAACCTGCCAGCTCCTGCCCGCACGCCTCGGACGTCACCAGCTCGCCCAAGCCAAGGGATCCGGTTGCGAGATAAATATTAAATCTTTCGGCGACAGGTAATCCACCCCCAGTGGGACCTGAGGAGCGAGTGGAGTCAAGGACACGAGACAACGAACCCCGGGCACCGGCCCCACCGCTGGGTTCACCCGTTGCTGCTGCCCGTGGGCTGGAGGGCCGGGGACACAGACAGAGCCTGGACACGCTCGGGTCAGAGATATCACGAAATATATATATTTGTATGTACAGCTCATCCACCCCACCCAGCGGGGCGAGGGAAGACTGCAGTCTCCAGCCCTCCCCAGCCCGTCAGCAAGAGCTCAGCCCCTCAACCCCCCCCGCAGTCACCCTCCCAGCGCCCCGACCCCGCCGCCGTGTCCCCAGGCAGGGTCTGGGCAGGGGGACAGACCGTTTTCCTGCCACAGCAGCGTCCGCTCCCCGCGTCCCGCCGCAGCGCCGAAGGGGCCCTCACCCCGCTTTGCCCCGCTCCCCACCTGCTCCCCCTTCTTGGCTCCGGCTGGTGGGGGGCAGGAGGAGGGTGATGGGGGTGCTGCCTCCGAAAGCATCGACCAGAGGCGCGCACAGGTCCCCCCCACCCAACGGGAAACGCCTGGGGCACTGTGGCCTCCACCAAGCCTTCACCCTCAGCTCAGGGTTGAGCCTGGAAGGAGGCAGAAGGGCAGGACGGCGTCACGGGAAGGACCCCACAGCTCCAGCCTCTCTCCAAGCCCACCACAGGGGGTCCAGGCACCCACAGACCCCCCAAAACCTCGCTCCCCCTACCCCTCGGCAGCGGGCCAGGCTCTAGATCTCCCCAAAGCACCCCCTCCTGCCTCTCCGTCGTCCGTCACTGCAGCAGCTCCTCCCAGGAGATGGGTCGGGAGAAGACCTCCCGCTCCAGCCACAGGTCGTAGTTGACCTGGAAATCCTCGGGCAGGTCCACGCGCTGGCCCAGCACGCTCTGCAGGCAGTTGTCCACGGGCAGAAAATCGGGGTTGCTGTGCGCCCGGTCGTAGCGACGCGAGTTGAAACGCTCAATGCTGGCGCGCAAGGCGCACTCCTCCGCCTGGAAGTCCCAGGGTCGGGCATCCAGGTCTGGGCAGAGGGAAGAGGGGTGTCAGAGGGGAGCCGGGGGCCCCTCAGCCAGCCCAAATCCCTCAGGAAAGGTCTTTGCGGGTCCTTAACGAAGAGCAACACAGGGCGCGGAGCAGGCAGCCACCAATGGCTCCAACTCCGGCCACTGCCAGCCCTTTCCCTCTCCCCTACCCCAAATCCCCCCCTGCAGCCCAGACCTAAGGGCTGCACAAGCCCTAAGCTGCAAAGGGACAGCTCTGGGCACAGACACGTCGCTGCACGGAGCAGGAAGGACAGCGGGCAGCGGGACGCTCTGCAGCCGCTGTGAAGGACGTACCGTTGCCGTAAGCCCAGTCGTCGTTGAGACGGTGCCGCACTTTCTGGTAGATGGCCGACATGGTCTTCATGTTGCTCTTCCTCCACTGCCGGCCCAGGTATTTGGTCTGTACCTTGAGCAGCTTCAGCACGTAGAGCTGCATCATGGCCTGCTTCACCTTCAGCGCCCGCTTCAGGATGGGTGCTGACTTGAAGACCACCAGCATCTGCGGGGAACAGCCCCCACGGCAGCCGGGGACAGAGGGGTGACGTGGCTGGGACGGGTACGTGGGTACCTCCCGTCACACACATGCCAACCCCCTCAAACACACAAAACCTTCCCTTCGTGCACTCTCCCTCACCCCTTTCACCCACACTCCCTCACCTGCTGCTCCCCAGCAAGGTCTAGGGTGCACCCCAAGGTACCCAACAGCCCCCTCACCCAGTCCAGGCACCCTGCGACAGCCCAGTCCGGCCGGGCTGAGCCCCAGCGTGTTCCCCGGCCCTCACCATGGTGCGGGAATGCTTCCACTTGGTCAGCTTGTTCAGGATGCGCAGGAGGTTTATGCAGGAGAAGAGGTTCCTCCAGCAAAACTGGTTGTTGTCTCCGGCTTCCTGCGGGAAAGCAGAGGCAGGGGTCAGGCAAGAGATGGGAGCGGGGATGAGGAGAGGCTGTTCTGGTCTGAGGACCCTTGCCCAAAGGGGCAGAGCACAGCACGCAGGTAGGAGATGTCTGACAGCCACCCATCGAAACCCCAGCAGTGCTGGGGCCAAGCGCAGGAGTGCTGAGGGTGCTAGGGCTGGGTGCTGGCGCCCTGCTGCCTCCCTGCACCCATGAAACCCTTTGGGGAGCACCCTGGGGCGCCAGGACCTGGCAGAGAAGGGAGCGACTCACCAGGCTCTCTGCCGTCAGCTCCGGCAGCTCGTGCACCACGCAGTACGGGTAGTCCAGGACGGAAATGCTGCAGAAGGAGAGGGGGTGTCGTGCTGCTCCCCCAGATCCTACCTGGCCTGGGGGCAACACAGCCCCACACCTCCCACCCACCAATAAGCTGCAGCAGGCACTTCCCTGGGTCTCCCTGTGCCGGATCCATGGCTGGGGAGGGATCACGGAGGGGCAAAGCACGCAGGGACCCCCTCCAAAAACCCGGCAGGGATGCGGGTGGGCAGCCCCCTCCACTACCTGTTCTTGGCAGTGATGTAGGACATGATGTTCTGGTTGAAGAACTTCAGGATGAGTGGGATGCAGTTGGCGAAGACCAGATGCTGGGCCATGTACTCAAACTGGGGAGAAAGGCGGGTGAACGGGGACTCATCCTGGGTCCTGCCCATCCCCAAAGCCCCGCGCAGGGCGGCCGGACCCCGGCCCACCTCACCTGGTAGATGTGATTCAGCTTGAAGTGCTTGAGCAGGAGGAGCAGCACAGCAGAAATGGCTTTGACGATGATCTCCTTGTGCCGATTGACATCGACCCCCAGCTTCATGCTCTGCAGCACTGTGGTCCTGGGGGACACAGAGGGATCCTTGGGCTGGGGCACTGTCCGCACCCGGCTAGCCCCGGAGGCGTCGGCGGACAGTCCTGCCATCCCCTGGGCTCCCAGCAGCCACCTGCAGCCAGCTCCTGCACCAACGCACAATTCCTGGCACACCACCGAGCAGAAGACGGTCAAGATCACCCAGGAGGCCTCAGCACAGCCCCAGCCCAAACCACACCACCCTGCCCAGCTCCCTCCCGTCCCCGCTTCCCTTCCCAGCACCCCCCAGCACCTCTGCTCGCCCTCCACGGTCACTCACGGCATCTCCTCCGGCAAGACGTCTGCCAGGATGTTGATGGAGTCCGTCTTGGCTTTGGAGGTGGGGGCTGCAGCAAGGAGGATCTTCAGCAGAGCAATCTGGGGAGAAGGCAGAGATGGAAAAGGGGATGGGAGCGGGGGGACTGGCCACAGGCTCCTCTCCCCACCCCAGGAGGGAGTAACAGGGACGTTTATGCAGGGAGGGAAGAAAACCTGGGGGCATCATTGGAAAGGGATGGAGCAGCAGAGGGAGGCCCCGGGACAAGGCACCCCCAGATCAGCTCCAGGAGGACAGAGCAGAGCCCAGGGGACCCCCAGTGCTCCCCACCTCACCATGTACTGCGGCAGGCTTGGCAGAAGGCCCTGGTACAGGATCTCCGCAGGGACTTGCTCCACTTCTTCTTCCCCCTGGTGCCAGGAGAGACCAGAAAACCTCCTACCAGGAGCTGCCACCAGCACCGTGGGCCTGGCTCAGCCCCAGGCTCTCCGACCCCAAGGGCAGGATACCCCCGGCTCCTGCCCGAGGCCTCTCCGCCCACCCCACCCTCTGCCCCAGAGAAATCGCTCCTCCCTCCCCAGCGGAGCAAACCCCCAGCTCCGTCGACAGCCAAAAGACTGAGTGCCCCAGCTTGGGAACTTCATCCCATCCCCATCCCCACACTCACCCCGGAGAGCGGGGAGCGCAGGTACTCGTCCTCCATGTGCACTTGCACCTCCGCGATCGACGTGTACTTGTGCTGCACGGGGAGAGCGTGGGGGTTCACCCCACAGCCCCCCCCCACATCGATGCCACCAGCCCCAGCCTGGTCCCATCATCTTTTTAAGTCCCTCCCTGTTATTCCTGTCCCAGCGGTGACCAATGTTGATGGGCGGGGTGGTGGCTGCTGGCCTCACCTCTGGGACAACCCCAGTAAGAAAGGGATGAAACCAGTGAGGAAAGGGGCTCAGCCAGAACTGGGAGACCACGGATGGGATGGAAACTTAAGGCTGCTCCCATCACAGGGCTGGGCAAGTGGGAGAGGGGTCAGCAAAACACCACCGGCCCTGACCTGCGATCGCTGCAGGGGGATGGGGAAGGGGCTGGGGGAATTCATAGAATAGAATCATAGAATAGAATCACAGAACGCTTTGGGATGGAGGGGACCTTTCCAGGCCATCCAGTCCATCCCCCCGCCATGGGCAGAGACATCTACAACCAGCTCAGGTTGCTCAGAGCCCCATCCAGCCTGGCCTTGAATGCTTCCAAGGATGGGGCATCTCCCACCTCTCTGGGCAACCCCTTCCAGTGCTTCACCACCCTCATTGTAAAAAATTTCTTCCTTATATCTACTCTGAATCTCCCCTCTTTTAGTTAAAACCATCACCCCTTGTCCTATCGCTACCGGCCCTGCTAAAAAGTCTGTCCCCATCTTCCTTATCAGCCCCCTTTAAGTACTTGAAAGGCCGCCATAAGGCCTCCCCGCAGCCTTCTCTTCTCCAGGCTGAACAACCCCCCGCAACATCAACATACTCACCAGCTTCAGGGTAAAGAGCCAGGCTGGGGGGAGGCAGGAGCAAACCTCAGCCGCCCCCACGAGCAGGTCAGAGACCACCACCCTGAGAAGAAGCCAGCAAGCTCAGGACTTCTCTGCTGCCAAGAGGAGGGCAACGGCAGCCCCCACACTAGCAGCCTCTACCACAATCCCCCCCCCCGACCGGCAGGGCCCCCCCCG